CTCCTGCCTCAGCCTCCCCAGAGCACACTCTGCTCCTTGCCCAAAATTTTTAAAATCAATATTCTCAATAGTGGCGTCCTGAGTGCAAAAATAAGTAATTACACCTCTACTTGCACTTAACTATCCAGATTTACCAAATCACACACTCTCATTAATTCTGAAATTTCTAAAATGTGAACTTCAAGTAAAGCAAGTTCCTCGGAACACATCGCTGAGCCTTGAATTAGTGGGGCGATCGCTCTGTATTTGTTCACAGCGCCACTCTGGGTTTTATTACTTCTTGTATCCCGATCCAGTCACTGAGGCGGCAGTGAGCCTGCAGCTGGACGGAAGGGCCCTGCATTCCCTCCTTTTGGCTGATTTATCGAACAACGTTAATCAACAAAGGCTACGAGCCATTACTTATTTACGACCGTTGTGCTGGAGCTCTGCGAACTCCCTCAATCACACGGACTAAAGGGTGAAGCCCGGCTATCTTCAGGAACGAAACAGAAAAGTTCAGGGTCCTCTGCTCCCGCTTTCCAGAGCAGGGGGGCCACCCCGAGCCCGCGCAAACTGATGCTTGGGTTGCAACCCTGAAGTTGGAGCGCGCGGCTAGCGGGCAGGGCGCTGGGGGCGCCCACGTCGGGCATCGCGACGCGCGCCCCGCTCCGCGGAGCCCGAACCCCGACTTCTCTCCAAACCCTCCGCTCCAGCGCTCGCAAGCGCTACGGACCCGGCCCGGCCGAGCCTCCGCCACGCCCCGCAGGGACCCGCGTGTCCGGGGGCGTCTGCGTCCCTCGGCGGAGGATCTCGGACTCGTGCAGGGAGAGGAGCCCTCGGACGCTTGCTGCTCCGTGGGAGCTACACGCTTGGCGGGCGCAGTGCGGTTCGCAGCGGTTCGACCCGAGTCCCCGGCCGCGCGCGCACAGGCGTCCCGGTCCGGACCCCCCAGCCGGCCGCGATCGCGGGATCCCCGCCGGCCCGGGCCCCACAGCCCGGGACAAAGCGGCTGCCGCTCCGGCGCGAAGGCTCCCGGCTCCCGCGCCCCGAGCGCGGGACAAAGGCTGCCCCCTCCCTCCGCCGGTCAACGCGGCCCTCTCTTCCCGGGACCCCACCCCGCCGCGCCGCCCTCAGCCCGCGCCCCTCACCCGGCGGCGGGGTCTCCCAGGGCCGCCTCCTCCGCCGGGCCTC